CTGATGCCGCTGCGGAAATGGCCCACGAGGGCGCCGCTGGCGGCGCCAGCCGCGCAGCCAGCGCCGCCGCCGACCGCGGCCCCGCCGGCGGCGCCGAGGAGGACGCCGAGCGCGGCGCCGACGGGGAGCGACAGGCCGAAGGTGAAGAGTGCGGGAACGGCGCCCAGGGCCGTGCCTGGAAAGAAGAGCACAATCTGCATGAACATCAACTCTCGGCCGTGGCTCCGGACCCGCCATACGTACCTTGGCTGGTTTTCCGGCCCGAGAAGCATACTGCAGGATGCAACAGATTTCCAAGTCTGGACAAGCGGGCATTGCGCGGAAAATTCCACAGTATAACCGTTTCACTGCCCGCAAACGAGGGCAGGCATCCACAAAAGTATGGCGGAAAATGGCGACGGGGAAAGCAGGGCGGATTTCGACATCACAGGATCTTCAAAAAGAAGGCTTCTGTTTCGCCCTACTTGCGAAATCGCCCAAAGTAGGGCGGATCCGGAGTCAGCGGGCGCGGCCCGCGCCGATATTTCTTGGATCGGCGCTGGGGCCCCAGCCCTGGGGCGCTTCGAGCGCCAGGGGCGGCTTCGGCCATCGAGATGCATCACATCGGCAGCAATGAGTAAGCAGATCGGAAGCCATCGGAAGGCTTCGGAATCGACGTCCGCTGGCCAAGCCAAGACGTAGAAGAGACATTCTAAACCTATTTCGGAATCCAGTCGAATCGAAGTCGGAATCCTCGAAACCGAATCGATCCGAATCGGCAGGGTCGAAATCTGCAATGGCTCCTGCAGCGGGGTCCCAGCGCCAAGCCAAGACGTATCCGCGCAGACCTCCGAAAGTTCATGCTCATGCAACGTGTTCTTCTCCGAGTGTGAAGGGGCCCCAGGACACACAAACAAATACACACAAATAACAGGATTCCCCAGATCTTCCCATATTTTCTTGATTTTTGTCTTCCCCCCCCACCTCCCATAGTTTCCCATATTTTCCTGGGAGTTGACGGTTGAGGAGGAGGAGGAGGAGGAGGAGGAGGAGGAGGAGGAGGAGGAGGAGGAGGAGGTGAGGAGGAGGAGGAGGAGGAGGAGGAGGAGAGGAGGAGGAGGAGGAGGAGGAGGAGGAGGAGGAGAGGAGGAGGAGGAGGAGGGGGGGAGGAGGGGGAGGAGGAGGAGAGGAGGAGGAGGGGAGGAGGAGGAGGAGGAGGAGGAGGAGGAGGAGGAGGGAGGGGGAGAAGGAGGAGGAGGAGGAGGAGGAGGAGGAGGAGGGAGGAGGAGGAGGAGGAGGTTAATTATGTCTGTGTGTGTTCTTTCCCTCCTGAGCGTGCCGCAGGCCCCGCCCAGGGCGGCGCCCAGGACGCCGCAGATCGAGCCGAGGCACAGGGCGCCGCCGGCGCCGAAGACGACGGCGGCCAGCGCCACGGGGTCCTCCGAAGGGGGGCCCTGGGACACGCAAACAAATACATACACAAATAAAACGATTCCCCATATTATCCTGCTTTTTCTGGGTCTTTTTGGAGGCCTGGAAATTGGCACCAACACCAACACATGGGGTTGCCTCCACAGGGGGAAGATGATCCTAGATTTCGGTGTTGGTGGTAATATGTCGGCCACCGTGGAAGCCAGAATATTACCACCATCACCGAGATCGGGATCTTCTTCCCTCGTTGGAGGCACAACGCCGAAATTGGTGTTGGTGTCAACCTCTAGGCCTGCGATCTTAGTCTCCCCCCCACACTTCCCGTTTTTTCCTACATTTTCTGGGAGATCGACGATTCATTGTGTCTGTGTGTTCCTTTCCCTCCTGGTCCTCCTCCTCCGCCACCAGGGCGTGCAGCTTCGGGTTGCTCGCGACCCTCGCCGCCCGGCTGGGCATCGAGCACACCGCGCAGCCGACCACGACGACGTACGACCGCACGTCCTGCACCAGCTTGCCCCGCGCCGCCCACGCCGCGCGCAGCACCTGCCTGCAGGGCCCGGCCATCTCCTGTGGAAGGAGGACACCGCGGCACGAGCACAATGAAACCGTCGGAGCTCCGCGGGGATGTCTCGCATCGGCGCCGGACCCCCCCTCCCTGGCGCGCCAGGGGCGCCGCCGTGGGGTGGGGCCATAGCGCCGATCCCCCAAAAAACCCGCGCGGAGCTCCGAGAGTTACCAGCCTCGGACGTATCCCTATCCCTAAGATTGACACGCCAAAAGGCGATGACAATCTTAGGGATTCGCCCTCAAAAATAAGGGAATCCCTAAGATCAGCATCGTGATGAGGAGGTGCCCAGCATCGGGATAGGGATATGTTCCGGGCTGGCAAGAGAGCTCCTGTGGCCATGCCCTTTTTGTTCCTCCGCGGCAGCCTCGAGGAAGCCCACCTGCTTCAGCGGCTCGGCGGGCCGCCCCGCCCCGAGCTGCGGGCCCGCGGCGCCATCCCCCCCGGCCGCCGGGGCCTGCATTGCGTGCGGCCCACGGCCGCGCCGCCGGCGGCGGGGTGCTGGGGCCCGGCGGCGGGCCTCCCGCGGAGGCGCGGCCAGGGCAAGCCTCGCTGCGCGGCGCGGCGCGCGCACGAGGGGGCCGCCGCGCGGCCGCGACACGGGGACGACGACGAGGTCCGGAAGGAAACGGGTCCTCCTCCTCCTCCTCCTCCTCCTCCTCCTCCTCCTCCTCCTCCTCTCTCTTCCTCCTCCTCCTCCTCCTCCTCCTCCTCCTCCGTCCAGAAGGAAAGGGGTCCGGCCTGGACCCCGGGGCCTTCGCCCAGGTGTCGTGACGGTCCCGTGGCCCGTGGAGGGCCGCTCGAACGTGAAAGGACGGCCGAGGTCCAGAAGGAAAGGGGTCCGGCCTGGACCCCCGGGCCTTCGCCCAGGTGTCTTGACGGTCCTGGGGCCCGTGGAGGGCCGCCCGAACGTGAAAACGGTGAAACACCTCGGGACCCGTGTCCCTCTGGAGCGGAGGCGGCGCCGGGTCACTCTGGGGGCCTGCTGCGGCCAGCCCAGACCACTCGGGGGGCCTGTTGAGGCCAGCTGGGACTACCTGGGCAGGCCGCCTGCGCGCAAGCCGAAGCCTTACCAGATATCAGGTGAGTTCGATCGCCCGGACCGCCCTACCGTCTGGGGGTGTGCGACATGCATACAAGGACGGAGGGATGGATCGGAGGTCGCGCCGGCGATGTCGGGATGGAGGAAGTCGGGTTCCCACGCGCCGCTGGCCCCAGAGCCCTGCCACGGCGCCGAGACGCCCGCGCGAGTGCCTGGCCCAGAACCTCCGGCGGTCCGATGTCTGCTCCAAGGGCCGCTGGCCAGAACTCGGCCGTCCCCCGGCTCGGGGGCGTCCGAGAGGGGGTCTAGAAAGGGGGGGGCGCAAATCGTGGCCCGAGGCACGTGCGCGGCCGACGGGGGGGGCCAAGGGACGCTGGAATAAGCCGGGGCCATGCGCCCAGGGAGATGTCCCCCCCAATCACCCCCCCCCCCCCTAAAACGACGCGAAGATCGGGACAAAATCGGATCGGGATAACTCGAAATCTCTGAGAATCGGCGGGTTTGGAGGATGTATTGGGCGCCGCGGCCGCTCCAGAGCGTTCCGGAACGCTCTGAGAGAGCTCCGGAACGCTCTGGAGTGATTTATCCCGATCCTAGCCCTGTTTTACCCCCCCACCTGGCCCCCCTGACTGACGCCTCGAGATTTGCTCGAGTGGCCGGCCTGGATCCCCTCCCCCCTGAGCGCTGGGCCCTCTTGCTGTGAGGTGGACCCACCCTGCCTTCGGCTCCGCCGTATTTGGGCTGCTTTTCCAACTGGGAAATGTCGTTGGCAATGCACCCAAAACGATACGAATGATAGGGCGACGCAATCTATACATATCCACTGCTCCCTGGCCAGGCCCATCCTGAACACAGCAGCTGTGTATACGCCACGCCCTCCTGGTTTGGCCAGGAGGGCGTATACACAGCTCCTGGGTTCAGGATGGGCCTGGCCAGGGAGCAGTGGATATGTATAGATTTCGTCCCCCGAAATGAGCAAGTCAAGCATTTCCGACTCAGAAGAAGATATTTCAGCAAACGCACGGCGGAAACAACGAACGACAAAGCGGGGCGGACATCGACACCCAACGAGCCTGAAGAGCAGGGCGGACATTTCCGCCCTACTTGCGAAATCGCCCAGAGCGGGCCGGATCCAGGGTCGTGGTCCTCCCTTGGCGGCGCGCACGATGGGGTAGGGGGGAGAGGGGATGGCTTCTTAGAGGGAGGCTGCTTCTTAGAAGGCGTCAGCCTGACACCTACAGAGAAGGCCCGCGCCTTCTCAGAAGCAGGGGTGATTTTTTAGAAGCCTTCCCTCCTCCCCCTATGAAGGGGCCCTGGGACACACAAATAAACACACACACACACAAATAACAGGATTCCAGAGATTTTCATACAGTTTCTAAGGTTTTTTCTCTTCCCCCCACTTCCCGTATGTTCCCTATTTTCTGGGCATTCGACGATTCACTGTGGCTGTGTGCCTTGTTTCCCTCCCGGTGCTCCTCCCCCTGCCCCCCCCCCCTCCTGCGCGTGGCTGACCCTCCCTGGAGCGCTGGCTCTCCAGCCCCCCGGGACCTTGCTGCTGCGAGGGGGGAGGGGGGGGGGGAGGCACGCACGGGGGCCCACGGGGCGGGCCCGCGGGGACGCCGCGCGCGCGGCGAGGAGAGATCGTTTTTGCTATGCCTGCTTTTTGCTCGTCCCGCGGCTCTCTCTTGGAGAGGGGGCGAGGGGGACAGGGGCGAAGGACGCGGCAGGGGAGAGGGACGCGGGAGGGGAGGAGGAGGAGGAGGAGGAGGAGGAGGAGGAGGAGGAGGAGGAGGAGGGAGGAGGAGGAGGAGGAGGAGGAGGAGGAGAGCACGTGGAGGAGATCTCCTCTAGCTCTTGAGGGAGCGGCGCGGGGAGCGGCCGCCAGGCGCCCGTGCGTGCTGCCACGCGACTGCTGCTGCTTAATTAGTGCAGGCGCGGCCGGGGCGGGCACCTCTGCCCCCCCCGACCGACCAGCCATAACTGGGGGAGCTGTGGTCCTTACCCCCCTGGGGGAACCCATCGCATCGACGATTTCTCGAGAGGGGTGCCGAAATCGATGGGCCCCCCAGGGGGGTAAGGACCACAGCTCCCCCAGTTGTGGCTGGCCTGCCCGAGCTCCCAGAAGATCTGGGAGGGGGGCCGAGGACCAAAATTG